AGTCTGTAACATAGTTTGGTTAAAATTTCCCAATGGTAGTGTAAAAAATACCTTTTTTTACCCTGTCAAAAACATCTCTTTTCAGATCATGCCGTTTTTGTAGCATTTTCCTTTAAATGTTAATGAGCTCTGCTGACCCCGCCCCTCTCTTCCGAGCCGCTCTCTGAGGGACTGTTTACTTTAGCTGCACTCATCGTGAAACTTGCTAATTAGCACATTATTAGGAAAGGCGATAAAAATTCTTTACAAAACATTATACTCACTTCTTCTGTAGATGAGGCTGGATTATGAATGATTCGCGCGAACATAGACTCATTTAGGCAGATCGGGGAGCATTCGCTTCAAAAACAAACGTAATCAGTGGGTTTACGTTGTTTTACGAACTGCGAGTTCAGCGGCTCAGATGTCAGGAGTAAATGACGACTGTTTTGTTTATTATTACATCCAACAACAGAACACCTCAATCGCTTAGGAGTCATTCTTGTCTACATCTGCTCCGACGGTGACACAATGGCGGACTGATGAGAGCTCACTCAGGGCGGGTCTAAAGTAGAACACCAGTCCAGTCTGTGCTGAAACGCTACTGTCAGACTATCGTGGGAGGGGCCTGTCTGTGTGACGTCACACAGACAGGCATCTGAGATCGGCTCGATTTGAGAAAGGGGAAAACATTTAACGAGATAAAAAAAAAAAAACTGGGTGGATATTTGTCATTATAGGGTGGTTGTGTACACACACTGCCGACACACATTTCAGTTCAAACAACTTGTAAAAGTGCATGTAGCATTCGATGACCCCTTTAAGATAAGAAGATTGGCAACAGTGCAAAAACGGCTGTTATTATGTAGCGTCTGCGTCATGCAAATGAATCTGATTATGAAATTAATATTATTAGATGGATAGTTCACACTAGGGCTGGACGATAAATCGAAATGGAATCAAAATCGTGATTCGACAGAAGCTGCGATTGTCATGCGTATCTTTCAGTGAAGCACGGTTCTGTGATCAGCAGTAAATCTCCATCCAAAGGCCAGAGGGTGCTCTCGCGCTGAAACTCCAAATACGCCTCGCAGAA